TAGAAGATCCCTGGGCACACAGGACTGAGAACAATGTCTGCTCACCTCGTCCCAACTCCAGGCCCTCAGGCAATTGTCCCTGCCTTCTGGAGACCCCAGCCCAGGCGCCATTCTCTCTCATCACGTTCTTCCTGACAGCTTTGTTCTACCTGGTCAGTTTCTAGTTTCTGTTTCCCAGTGCTTCTCTTCCTCCTCTTTGCATTTCTCCCTTCTCTGCCAAATGAAAGCAAAACAGAAAACCCAAAGAAGAATGGCAGGAAATAATTTCTTTGAACCACCAGCTCCCTGATTTCCTGCTATTTACATCACTGTTGCTTTCTGCAACATCCAGTATTTGCATTGTTGGATTTCATCTCATTTGCTGTGAGACCACACCCAGTTTTCATTCATTGCTCACTGATAGCTAGTGAAGCTTAAATTTCAAGGACCTGCTTTTGCACAACCATTTCTTTGGAAGAGTCACAGCCACATTATGCGAAATATTTCAATACACTTTGCAAAAGCCACATTATGTGATGGTTCTCTTGCTAGAATGGCAATGTGATTGATTCTGGGGCTAGAGACTCGTGGCCAAAGTATAAGAATATCTACTAAGACAGATATTGTGAATACATTTTATAATCTCTAGAAATTCTGCATGATATAACTACTCAGATACATGGAATGAATATATTTTATAGTATCTAGAAATTATTGTAAGGGTATGCATCAAACAACAAAGCAGAAACTCCACGGGTCTTTATTCATTACAATGGTAAACTAATGAATAAATGAATATTTGACTTATTATATAAACTGCAATATAAAATAATTTCTCTAACCCTGATTTTATTTTCCATGTGATGTCTAGTACAAAATCTTGAATAAGGAAATTTTCAATGCAAAATTAAACAGAACATATGTGTTGTGAGCAATAGAATGTTGTTGCTGTCATGTTATAAATAAAAGATTCTAAAACTGTACATACTCTCCTTCACCTATGTCTCTGATGACAACCCTGTTGTGTTTTTTGACAGTTTCATAACTCCACCTACTGAGTGAAAGAATAAGATTCTAGTTAATCTCATCTCTTCTCTCTAGGCAGGGGACGGGCCTGAACAATGGACTCAGAGGATCACATGCCAGGCCCTGTGTGCCTCATTGAGAATGTGAAAGGGCAACTGGTAACCAATCAGGAGGCTCTGAGGATCCTGTCTGCCATCAAGCAGCCAGTGGTGGTGGTGGCCATCGTGGGCCTCTACCGCACAGGCAAATCCCACTTGATGAATAGGCTGGCTGGGAAGAACACAGGTGAGTGCCCCCAACACAGCTGTGCTGTATCCATGTCCACTCATATTATCTGCTTCCTGCAGGAGAGTGTAAAGAATTTAATCTTCCAGTCATGGTTGGATGTTAGGATCCTTTTTGTTATTGTTATTGTTGCTTTGTCCGTTGGCTTTTGTTTCTGAGACAATGCCATGCTATATAGCTCAAGCAGGCCTTGAGTTCAGTACATAATCTAGGTTGACTCTGAGCTCATGATCTTCTTCCTTGCCTTCCTGAGTGCTGATGCCAGGCCTGCACCACCACCTCCTAGTTTTCCTTCTAAAGCCACAACTGGCTTCTTTCCTAGGAGCAGAAAGGAGGTAATAAGTATAAGTTAATTTATATGTTAATAGACTTTAAGGTATTACTGAAACGGTCATGTAATAGCAGCAAATTTCTACTGGTCCTTAAGGTTAAATAGAGTCTATATTATATGTATTGACTTTTTATTATTGTAAATTATTTAAGCTTTATCTTTATAATTTTAAGTATCTGGGTCTGTGACATTAAACAAATGTATACATCTGTCTCCCTTATCCATCTCTAGAAGTAGCTCATTGCCCATCCTATACCACTATTCTACATGCTATATCTATAAATTTTGCTCTCCTAGAAATGTCTCATGAATAAGTAGACTCATACAAATTATGTTTTTTTTTCCTGACTGGTTTTTTCATTTAACATGACACCTCCCAGGTTTGTCACTATGAGGAAATTGTTGCAAAATTTTCTTTCTTTTTGAGGTGCAGGGATAAAGTGTGTCTACCATTGCCTTATCCATTTCCCTGTAGACAGGACAGCTGGGTACTCTGAATGATGCTGGTGTGAAGATGGCTGGAGAGACACCTGTCAGAGGCCAGGCTCTCAGGTTTTCTAGGTTGTATCAGTCTCATCGCTGATCAAATGACTGACAGCTGCAATGTAAGGCAGGAGAATTTACTTTGCTCAAAGTTCAGGGGCTATTATTCCACTATGTCAGGAAGACAGGACTATGTGGCTGTATGTGTAGTGGTAGGATCTTGTGGCTTGTTCATGACTTACCAGAAAGCAGAGAGCCGAGAGTCACAAGCAAGGCCAGTAATAGTCTACAAAGACCTGCCCTCTGTCAGTCAGGTCCTACCTCTTAAGGCTTCCATATGTCCCAACTTAATATCCCTAACTGGGGATCAAGTGTTCAAGTACATGGGCCTATGGTGAACATCTGCCTTAAAACCATAATATTCTACCCTGGTCCCAAAATACAGTTGAAACCACTTAAACAGACCCCTTAGTCTTGTAGTTCTAACAGTCTATAAAAGTCCAACATCTCATCTGACACTCAAGACGACCTGTAATATACAATGGCACAGAATAAGCATCCCCATTTCCAGTGTTGAGGTGAACAGGAAGGACAAATGAAGCCACAAAGCAAAGGAACATTCACCCTGCAAGTGCTGTGGACGGCATTTGTGGGTTTGTTGCTGTTTCTTTCATTTTATTTCATACCATGTATAGGTCACAAAGGGTTTTTTTAAGGTTAAAGTCCCCTCTAACTGAGGATTTTTTACCACCGCTGATCTGGAAAGTAACATAAGAATAAATCATAATCCTCACCCAACAAGAAGTTGAAGAGCAAGTACTTTGAGGAAGCCAGGAAGGGAATTCAGGTAACTAAGGCTACATGTGTGTTCTGGGAAAACTGCTGACCTCCGTCAGACTGCAGAGTGACCCCAGGCATCAAAGCCAGAATGTCTTACAGTGTGCATTCCAGGCATAGGCTCCTTCAACATCACATACGTAAAGGTTCTCACACTCGATGTGTTCTTCTTACTCATCAGAGACAGTGCACTCACTGAACACTTGAGTTCACACCAGACAATCACATTATCCGCCAGTGTGACTGTCACCCTGTGCTGGACCCTTTGTGTTGCAAAGGACCCAATGATAGCCCCTTAAACGAAACTTGTAATAATCAGTTTGGACTTCACACTGGCTTTAAAGGACAGCTGAGTATGATATAATCTTATGTCCATCTGTCTTCCCCAGCCCCATCTACCTTTCTCATTTCCTCTGATCTCTTTGTTCTCCTTGAGAGTTTATGTCATCATCTCCTCCCCCGCCCCCGCCATCTATCACCATAGCACCATTAATTTGTAAGTTAGAGCCCTAGTCTAAAGGACTCTCTATGTTTTCTAGCACAGGCCTCCAATAAAAGACATTGTTGGTGGGATCCAGCCTAGACTGTGTGCCTGTTTCTGAGGCTGGGACCAAATATACCAAGAGGCGTCACTAGAGAAAAGGGGGGGGGGAGGGTAAGGAGATAGGGGCAAAAACTTGCAGTCATTCCTGCTGTTAACTTCATGGCTTCTGGATTTGAAGGTTGAGGAAGCGCTGCAGAAGTTTCTGCAGTCCAAAGGGGATGTAACTGATGCCATTCTACAGAGAGTTAAGGCTCTGACAGAAAAGGAAAAGCAGATTGAAGGTGAGGCACAGGTTAAGGGGCTACAAGCCCTGCAAGGTCATGGAATGTTTGAATTACTTGTAAACCTGGGACCCTATACCAGAGTTAAAAGAGCAAAGCTGTCTCTTACCGGCTGGCAGCAGGCATGGTAGTACTATGACGTCAGCAGTAACAATGAAGCAGGTGAGGAAGAAGCGAGCAACACATGATGCATTGTCACCGTCCTTCCTGCTTTCTTCCCAGGGGAGCGTGTGAAACCTGAAGCGGCACAGGCTGCAGCAAAATTGCCGAAGGAAATGCAGCTGCAGAATGAACAACTGATGCAAAGGAAAGAGAAGAGCTACCAGGAACGTGGGAAACGGCTGAGGGAGGTGGAGAAGGAAAAGGCCCGGATGAGGGAAGAGCAACAGAGGATCACTGAGCACAGGGTACAAGTATTTTAATTGCATCACTGCTTGTATTCTCTTCACTTAAAAGAATTTTTCTTTCTTTTTACTTTTTTTTTTCTTAATTTCATTGTACATTCCAACCACAGTTCTCTCTCCCACCCCTGACCGTCTCCCCAGCCTACCCCATCCACTCCTCCCAACGGGTAAGAGCTCCCAACAAAGTCCGGCACATTAAGTCGGGGGCAGAACCAAGCCCCTCTCCCCTGCATTTTCCACAGGGAATGTGCTCCAACAAGCAAGCTCACGCACTAAGGACAGATCCTAGTCCTAGTGCCAGGGGCAACTCAGATAGTGGAAGTTTCACCACTGTCTCCTACATACGGAGTACCTAGTTTGGTCCCATAGAGGCTCTACAGTTGTCGGTCTAGAGTACATGAATTTCCACGAACTTGGTTCAACTGTCTCTGTAGATTTCTTCATCATGGTCTTGACCTCCCTTGTTCATATATTCCTGTCTCCTCTTCAACTGAATTCTTGGGACTTGGTCTGGTGCTTGGTTGTGGATCTCTGCATCTGGTTTCGTAAGTTACTGGATGAAGGCTCTACGATGATAGTTGGGGTATTCACCAATCTGATCACAGAGGAAGGCCAGTCTGGACACCCTCTCCACTACTGCTGGGGTCATCCTGTGGATCCTTGGGGTTTCTTCCAGCAGCTCTCTCTATTGAGATCTCTCTCACTGCTCTCCCACTCTGTCCCTCTCCCCCCTTGACCTGCCCATCCCCTCATGTTCTCATCTCCCATCCCCTCCCCTTTACCATCCTCCCTTGCCCCCAGTTTACCCAGGAGATCTCATCTAATTCCTCTTCCCAGGGTGATCCATGTGCCCCTCTTAGAGTCTCCCTTGTTACTTAGTTTCTTTAGAGTTATGGATTGTTGTCTGGTTATACCTTCATTTATGTCTAATATCCACTGATGAGTGAGTACGTACCGTGTTTTTTTCTAGTCTGGGTTAGCTCACTCAGGATGTTTTTTTTTCTAGTTACATTCATTTGCCTGCAAATTTCATGATGTCATTGGTTTTTATAGATGAGTAATAATCCATTGTACAAAAGCACCACATTTTCTTTATCCATTCTTCAGTTGAAGAGCATCTAGGTTGTTTCCAGGTTCTGGCAATTACACATAATGCTGCTATGAACATTATTGAGCAAGTGCCCTTGTGGTATGATTGAATAACCTTTGGATATATACCCAGGAGCATACTAGGTCTTGAGGTAGATTGTTTTCCAATTTTCTGAGAAACTGCCATACTGATTTCCAAAGTGGCTGCACCAGCCTCCCTGCTGGACAGCCCAGTCTGTAGGCCCCAGGGCAAAACCCTTGGCCCCTCCCCGCCACCTCAACCACACTAGCTAATCAATGGACAAGTCTCCTCTAGGCAGGCTGCTCCAGCACCCCCAATAGGAACCTGTAATCGACAAGTCCCACTCGACCTCCAAACCCACCCATCCCTGGAGACCTCTGCGACTCCCTGAGACACAGATACCAACTGCAACAATCTGACCAAGCGGAAAAGATACTGCCTGCACCAATTGGAAGAAGAGATGGGTAGGTATGGATGCAAAATAAATTCAGCAGCCTAAAGAGAAATATGGCACTACCAGAACCTAGTGGTCCTAACAACAGGAAGACCTAAACATCCCAACCCAGAAGAAGCAGAAGAAAACAACATTAAAAATAACTTTATGAAGATGACAGACTCTTAAAGAGGAAATGAAAAGTTCTCTAAAAGAAATGGGGGAAAAGACAAACAAAAAATTGGACGAAATCAATAAATCTCTTAAAGAAAGCCAAGAAAAAACAATTAAACAGATGAAGGAAACAGTTCAAGACTTGAACACTGAAATAGAGCAAATAAAAAAAAACGCAAATCGAGGGATTTGTGGGAATGAAAAAGTCTGCGTAATGAACAGGAACTACAGATGCAGGCATAACCAACAGAACCAAGAGATAGAAGACAGAATCTCAAGGGTTGAAAATGCAATAGAGAAAATAGTTTTATCAGTCAAAGAAAACATATAGCTAACAAAGTCATACATAACACAAAATGCTCAGGAAATCTGGAACACCATGAAAAGACCAAACCTAAGAATGATATGGACAGAAGAATACCAGCTCAAAGGCACAGAAAATATATCCAACCAAGTCATACAAGAAAACTTTCACAACTTAAAAAAGTATTTTAAAGTGTGTGTGTGTGTGTGTGTGTGTGTGTGTGTGTGTGTGTGTGTTTGCTCATGTATATATGATACCTCTAGAAGCAGGAAAAGTGAATCAGATCCTGGGGAGCTGGAGTTTTTGGTGATCGTGAGCCAAATGACTTGGATGCTTGGAATGGAATTTCAGTCTGTAACACACTGTTCTCAAATGCAAAAGCATCTCATCTCTTTCCCCTGTGGGATTCACTAGGGTTGTTTTCACCTGGTATAAATTTACTCCTAAGAGTGTTTATGAGGGGAGGAACTATTTAACCCTTGCGACTATGTGATTGTCTGTCTGTCTTTCCTTTTCCCTATACTCTGTCCCCGATTTGAGTTCAGTTGGGAGTTGGATGAGGAAATTCATTATCTTCCATCTGGGACTCTGATTTTCTTTCCTATCATCTCTCACCCTGCAACCTAGTTGTGGAAGTTTACACTTAAGTTCTTCTCCCACCGGCACTCTTTCTCTCTCTTTTCCTGTGTCAGTTCCTTTGTATATGTGTGCTTGGTCATGGGTTCACATGGATGTGAAGGCCACAGAACTACTTCCAATCTTGCTCCATCACTGTCCATCATATTTTTTTGTGGCAGGGTCTCTCACTGGACCTAGAGTTCACTGGCAGGGCTAGCCTGGCCTATTACTTTCAGCGACCTGCCTGTATCTGCCTCCGCAGTGTGGTGTTACAGCACAGTGCTGCATCTAGAACTCACATGGGTGCTTGAGATCCCAGCTCAGGTCCTCACGCTTATGCAGCAGACATGTTCCTGACTCTGCCATGTCCTCTCCACAAACTACGCTTCCTCGACAAAGACTCAGAGCTTAAGGACAGATTTTCAGAATCCATTCCTGTGGGGCGTGCTTACATAAGATGTGAGTATGGGGGGATCTAAATAAAGTCCATGGCTCTCATATTTGAAGTCAAACTCATAGACAATGGATAAGGAGAAAGGTCAATACGGGTAACTTAGGTTCACCAATAGAATTGTTATTTTTCTAATGTGGCCTAGGCATGAAACAGCCAGGCATCAAGCAAGGATGAAGGAAGAGCTTCCATCTGCTCTGCCCCTCAGTGATAAGAACAACACCATCACAAAGGTGTCACTTTGCCCATGGCTGGAATTGTTTCTTAGCTAAAGCAACTCCCCAAGAGACAGGATCACAGCTACCCAAGGAAAAGTATAATTTGGGAAGGGGAATAAAAAAATTAAAAACAGAAAAAAATATTTCTCTGCATATTAAATTTTACACAAGAATAAAAACAGGTTAAAGATATATAAAAATTAAGAGTAGAAAAATTTTAATAAGTTAAATAATAAAATAAATGATTACAGAAAATGCATAGAACATAAGAATCTACTCAGTGCAACAACTCATTGTTTTCTCTTGTTGCTTTTTAGAAACAGGCTCAACTACTACAGAAAGGATTCCAGAAGGAGGCCAAAAGGCTTGAAGAAGAAAGGATACGTCTCCAGCAAAAGAAACCAAAGCACAAATGGCATCGTAAGCTATGGTTCTAAGAATAGCGCCATCCTGCCTCTCAAAACAGAGCTGATCAGGTGTAGAATATGCAACAAGTGCCACTTCAATTGATAAAAATTGGGTCCTGCATCAGAAACCTGAAAGTCTGCAAAAATATGTGATGTGATCGTTGAAATCATGTTTATCTTCCTATAAGATTGGGCACCGAGGATGCGATTAGCCTGTCTACCACAGTAGAGGTAGCAACAACTGCTCAGAACTAAGTCTTTTTTTAGATGATCTTCAAGAGGCAAATGGACACTGTACACATTCTTTTTAAAAGAAAACTTTATTTTTATTGTTTCATGTGCATCAGTGTTTTGCCTGGATGTATGTCCATGTGAGGGTGTCAGATCTTGGAGTTAGATATTTTGTTTGTTTGTTTTCAAGACAGGGTTTCTTTGTGTAACAGCCCTAGCTGTCCTGGAACTAACTCTTGTAGACCAGGCTGTCCTCAAACTCACAGAGATCCACCTGTCTCTGCCTCCCAAGTGCTGGGATTAAAGGCCTGTGCCACCACCATCCAGCCTGGAGTTAGATATTTGTGAACTGCCATGTAGGTGCTGGAATTTGAACCAGGGTTCTCTGGAAGAGAAGTCAGTGCTGTTTAACCTCTGAACCATTTCTCTAACCCCATACAGAGAACATTTTTAAATGGTAGCACATAATTAGGAACCCAGTGGTCCAAGGATGTGATCTAAGGGTCTAAAGGACAGGGATAGCCTCATTTCCTACAATGCAAAGTTCTCCATTCTATCAAAACGCTCAACCTTTTAGCAATGGAATTATTTGTGAACACTGGTGATGCATAAACCTATGAACACACTCCATTATAAATCAAGACACCTGCATGGAAATCAGAGTCCCCATATATAATATCCTCAGGAAGAGGGGAGAAACCATAAGCATAACAAGGAGCTAGATTACAGGTCCATGGGTTGAAGAAGGAAATGTTCCAGTTTATGTGGATGGAAACTGTTAGCAGGACATTTCCAAAATCTAAGATTCGACACTGATCATATACTAACACGATGGCAACTATGCATAATGAATAGCATATGTACTTATGTATAAAGTACACATAAGTACATATTATGTATACTTCATGTATAAAATTATATAACTTAAAGTGCACTTTAAATGATGATGGGTAATCTATAAATAACAAAGGAATTTTAATGATTTATCTTTATAAACTTATGCTACTCTTTTTCTTATTATTAACAGCTATACTTGAAATCCTGTTGATATTCCCCAAGCATAATAAAGATTCTTTTCCACATTTTGACCGGATCTTAGTATAATAGAGTATAGATAAACTATATTCTAACTTCCAAAAGTGCAAGGTAGGTGATGAACATCTTTTAAAAAGACCAAAAACATTTTTGAGGGTGTGGGGCTTGGTGGGTGAAGTACTTGCAGTGCAAACGTAAGAACACCAGCACCCACATAGCAAACCAGACATGGGGGTACACACTGTAAGCCTAACACTGAGGTTGGGGCAGAGATAGACAGGACAATCTCTGGGGCTTACTAGTCAGCCAGCAAAGCCAATAGATGGGCTCTGGGTTCTCTGAGAGATCCTGTCTCAAAAATAAGCTGCGAAGTAATTGAGAATGGAGTTATGTTGTTCGCTGGAAGTGAATTGACCAGAAATAATCACATTAAGCAAGATAAATCAATCCCGGAAAAACAAATGATATGTCTTCTTTAGTACACAATTCCTAGACTGCATGTAGATATATAAAATTACACATGTATATTTGACATGAAAGCCAAAGTGAAACTGTCTAGGGAAACAAAGAGGACTAAAGGAGTAGAGAATCGTGAAGAGTAAAGGGTACAGGGGTATGCTAAATGTACAAGATATATGAAAATATACTCCTATTCCATCTTAAACCTGTCAGAATGGCCAAGATCAAACATGTTAATGACAGTCTAGGTTGGAGAGATTGGGGAGTAAGGGAACACTCCTCCATGCTGGTGGGAGTGCAAACTTGCACAGCCACTTTGAAAATCAGTATGGTGGTTTCTCAGAAACTTGGTAATCAATCTACCTCAAGACCCAGCGACATCAATCTTGGGCATATACCCAAAGGCTGCTCAATCATACCACAAGGACACTTGCTCAACTATGTTCACAGCACCATTATTTGTAATATTCAGAACCTGGAAACAACCTAGATGTTCCTCAGCTGAAGAGTGGATAAAGAAAATGTGGTACATTATATTAACGAATCAATCCCACACCAGTTATGTTTTAAGGGGTTATTTA